TTTCATGTCTGAGAGCCTCTGGCTATATGGAGTGGATAAATCAGAGCTTGCCAGAGGTTTCCAGATCCTCCGCGTTTGTCGGGTATTCGGGATGGGTATCTCGTGACTGGGCAGAGCTCGAGCCAGAAGCTCCCCAGGAAGCAGTACGCTCAGTTAGGTGACCATGTTGCCCTCTCATAGATGCCCACGGCCCTTTCTGTGGTCACAGAGGACGCCCCCGCCCTGCCTGGGCGTAGAGTCCAGTCAGGAAACTGGAAAGAGGTTTATGTCTACGTTCACAGACCCGCGTAGGCTCAGCCTTCTTGCTGTTTTCTTCAGGCTTTATCTCAGGGACTGAAGATCTTCACGGGGGCTCGTTTGCATGAACTTTTGTCACCTGCTTCTGCATCTCAGCGAGATGAAACGGGTTAAGGGTGAATTAGCAGATTACGTGGGCAGGCTGATTTGAAAAAACAAAACAAAACACAGCCCTTCTGTGGTATTTGAAATGAGTTGTTCTTTGAACTCAATAGGCAAGTGTGGTGCCAAGGAACCCGTCCTAATTTGCTTGGAGGACCAGAGAAGGAATTCTTAACGGGGTTGCTCCTGGCATTGGTGAGATGTGCCGAATAGAAATCTCATGGAAAGCGGTGTCTGGATGGAGGACCAGGTGTGGAGAGGAAATGTCAGGCCCGGTGGCGGTGCATCTGAGGAAGACCTGCTGCTGGGTTGTGCGGGGCAAGGCGGGCTTGGGTTCTGCAGGAGGGGGGCCCAGGGGCCCTGGGGCGCTGGCCGGGGAGCAGGGGACAAGTGCTTGTCGTGAGGGCCGGTGAGAGGAAATGTAAGAAAAATGGATGAAGAGAGGGCACTTAAGGTGAGGTGGATTGTCGCAGGACCACAGAGGAGCTGACAGGATCGTCTGGGGAGCGTGTGAGGCACAGAGGACAGGTTTGTGCTTGGAACCGAAAGGCAAAAATCCAGGAGAGTGACTGGAGGGAAGAAGCAGAGTTCATCTAGCTGAGAGAAGGCCAGACCTCCCGTGTGTTTGAAGGAAGCCAGCAAACCTGACGGTGGCGGCTTCGTGATGATGGAATCCAACGTGGGATTGCTGAGATGAACAGAGAGCAGGTGGATGATAGACCTTCACCCGATTTCTAAGGAAGCAACTGAAAAATAACTCCGGTAGACCTAAGGAAACCACACGTCAGAATATGTGGTCTCAACACCAGTATCTTATTTAGGGTTTTGCTCAGTCTCTCAGTCTGAAGTAGCTTTGTCAGTGCTTTTAAAAAATTTTCCTGGGACGCCTGGGTGGCTCAGATGGTTAAGCGTCTGCCTTCGGCTCGGGTCATGATCCCGGGGTCCTGGGATCGAGCCCCGCATCGGGCTCCTGGCTCAGCGGGGAGCCTGCTTCTCCCTCTGCCTCTCTCCCTGCTCATGCTCTCTCTATCTCTGAAAAAAAAAAAATTTTCCTTTTCTGCCTCAGAGCTTATAGTATGCTTCTTTCTGTCTGAGAGGCAGAGCATGCCTCCAGGTCAAGATTTGTACAGTGGATAATGGAAAAAAGCAGTTCTATGATTTTTTTTTTAATTAAAAATTTTTTTTTTTTTACAAAGCCCAGTGGCTCAGAACTCTTCTAAATAAAGGACTTACATCAAGTTTTAAAAGCCACGTGTGAACTCCAGTTAGCACTTCTCAGAGGATCTGTTCCATTTGTAATGCGTGGACCATTTCAGGGCAAAACTGCTTCCCAGTGAAATCAGTATCCCAGCATAGTAGTTAGAGGCCCTGGGAGGGGCTTAATCTCTGTTTCACTGTTAACAAGTATAACCTCAAGCTTCTAGAACCACCCTCGCTCTCTATCCTGCTCCCTTGGGTGGGGATTCTGCTCTGCTTTCTGAGAGGAACCCTATGAGCTTCGGTCTGATCCGGGCATTGGATAATGAGTCGTAAGCGTGTGGACAGTGGCTGGGGAACCCTTCACGCTGTATTCCTGCGGCTGGTAAACCCCAGCGCTTTGACTGGTGTCTGGCAAGTCTGGCTTACTGTTCCCTGTTTGTCGAGGCTCACTGGAGGATTTGGGGTGAATTCGTCAGGGAAGAGATAGATGTGACTCTCTCATCAGCTCTGTGTGTTGTAGTCAGCATTCTGAACTCCCTGCGTGGAGTTATTGATCCGATAAGCATCTTGGCCTTCAAAGTTAAAACACAATCACGTTTAAAAAAAAAAAAGAAAGAAAGAAAAGGAAGGAGAGGAGGCTATTCATCTATAAAAAGGAAAGGAGTACTGATTTGTGTTACAATATGGGTAAACCTTGAAAATATTATGCTGTGGGAAAGGAACCGTAAAAAAGGCATGTTTCCGTGTATGTGAAATGCCCAGAATAGGCAAATCCGTAGTGACAGAAAACTCAGTGGTGGTTGCCAGGGCCTGGGGTGGGCAGACGAAAGGGTGAATGACTGCCGGTGGGTACAGGGTTTCATTTTGAGATGAGGAAAACATTCTGGAATGAGATAGTAATGCGGGTACAACACAACATTGGGACTGTGCTTAACGCCACTGAATTCTGTACTTTCCAACAGTTAAATTTTATGTTATTTACCATAAAAACATACCAAGGGCATATCACCTCAGGTTCACAGCTGTTTATTTTCTCTTACTGTAGGTATTTTGCAAATGAGCCATTTGCTGACTTCCACCGTGTGGAAGGGTTGCAAGGAGTCTACATCGCTACTCTGATTAATGGTTCTATGAATGAGGAGAACATGAGATCAGTCATCACCTTTGACAAAGGGGGTACCTGGGAGTTCCTTCAGGCTCCAGCCTTCACAGGATATGGAGAAAAAATCAACTGTGAGGTAGAGATGCTTTCATCTTGTTTGCGTTTTTCATACAAATCTTTACCTGTCATGCTAACCTTACGGTTCCCAAACTCAACACCAGGGCACCTAGGGTGCCATAGTGAACTCCCAAGGGCACTCTGGAATGCTTTAAATTTTTGAGGGAAACACGAGATACTTGGTATTTGTTGGTCATCATGGGAAGTACCATCTTGAGTTTAGTTCCGAGTTTCAACATGAGTTCATGCTGAATTTCTTTGGAAGACGTCCTGTCTTTGTAAAGCTGGATTTCCTCGCAGTTGATGTGATAAAAAGCAAGTGAGAAAATCAGGGTGGAACGGGAGATGACAGTGGTGGGATCGAATATGATTCTAAACTTAGGGAAGGTGCGTAGTACTCAGTAGGTGCACACATCCCGTATTAAGTAACTGTGGTAATATTTAAGGGTGAAATAAAGATTTTGTTTTCTCTCCTTCTCTTTCTCCGTGAGTATGTGTGTATATCCACATATGCACGCATACTATTATTTTGAACTGCCGCTAAGTTATTAGGACATGTCTACTTATTAAGTTGTGTGGTCTCAACTATGTAAAACAATAAATGTTGGTATTCTGGCGTGAAGCTGCTATAAAAAATTTACGGGGACACCAATTGTGCTGCAAAGCAAGAAAGTTTGGGAAACTCTGATGTAAGCTTTTTAGTTCTGTGGAACTCTTTAAAAAAAAAATGCCTTCCTGAATATAATTCAGGATTCTACAATTTTCCCAATCTGTGGCTCCATCTGAAAAGCTGAGAATACTAAAATGTATTATTTGGCCTCAGGAAGTGTTCCCACTCGCCTCAGCAGCTCTGTTCTTATCCCTCGGATGAACATTCTTTGGACTGAGTTCCTTCCTTTTTGCCTCACCTAAGGGATCTGGGGTATGTAAGGTAGGTAGGCAGAAGGAACTCAGAAAAAAAGTCAAGTAGTAGTAATTTTTGGGAGAACTGTAACATTTAGTTAGACAATTACCTGATCTTTTGGAATTTTAAATTTTGTTTGTCCATGATTAAGTATGTTGACTCTCCGGTAGCTGTGACCCCTGGGAAAATTTTTTTTTGGAGACTCTTGCTCTCCACGGACTTCTTGATTACTCTTCCCTATTTGGCAACAGGTGTGGACTTAGTACATCAAGTCTAACTTTCGAAAGAGGCAAGATATAAGTAGACAGAGACAGATACATAGGTGCTTCTTTATTCCGGAGTGGCTTCTAGATTTTGGGAGCTCTGCACGAGCCTTTGTGGATGGGGGTGGCCTGCTTTTGAGCATGCTGTTGGGGGTCTGAGCCCTAGTTAAATAGAATTAATGGTATTGTTAAAACTCTGCTTATTCTCCTGACTGACCTGTTTATTTATGAACTCTACAACCGTTGGTGAGCTTTTAGTTTTTACCTGTGATTTTAGGTGGTGAAAGAACAGGTCAGTTGGCACATATTTCTTTGAGACCCAACCTAATTTGCTCCAGTTTTCATTTGCTAAACTGTGATGCTAGCAAAATGGACATTTGCTAGAGAGATCCTTTTGTTATAAAAGTAAGTGTATGTAGCAAAACCATGTCTGTTTTTACGTGTTCCCATAAGCACACAGAGTTACCCTGTCTAGAACACCAGACGAGGCTGAATAACATTTGACAGTCACATTCTGACCAAGAGAATCTGGCATGACCACACAGCAAACAGCGTTGTTTGCACAACTATTACAATCCGAACGTAAGTGGCAGAGGCCAGTTTGAATGACTTGTTTTGCAGTGGACACAGCAGAGCTGGTGCTTTGTACAAACGCTGACCACTTAAAATCTGTTTTAATGTGGATCCTTTGGTGTTTCTATCTCCTATGTGGTACATCTGGGAGCTTATCCGTGAGACTATGACTTCTGATTCTTGGTTTTTCCTCTGATGGAATTGCTTACACTGTATTTGAAATCTATCTCTACGGCCTTATTTTTTAAGTCCCACGAAATCATTAATTCTCTTTAGTGCCGAGTCACGTGAGAGTATCTCTGGGTAAAACAGAGGGAGGGACAGCTTTCGACCTACTTGAGTGGACACTGATTTCTTTTTTTTTTTTTTAAAGATTTTATTTATTCATTTGAGAGAGAATGAGATAGAGAGAGCATGAGAGGGGGGAGGGTCAGAGGGAGAAGCA